GCTTCCGCGCAGGCCGCCCCTGCGGGGTCGTCGTCGGCCCGGCAGGTCCTGCGGAGTCGCGGCGAGAGGCCCGCCTGCCTCAGGCCCCGGGTCCTGACCTTTCATTCCCCGCAGACGTTTTATGTTCCTTTGTGGGGTTCCCTCCCGCCTTCAAACTTGGAATCTCTACCTATTTTGCACAAAATGAATCCCGGGTTGTCAGAGCTACCGACATTTGCAAATAGGTCAAACACCCCGGAGTCCTAAAAGTAAAATGAATCGTGCAATACAAAAAACACGCAAGCCTGATGAACTGGGTATTAGGATTCTCTTCGAAAGTATCGGGTTTTCCAGGTCGCTGTTGGAAATCGGACCGTCGTTCAAGGTCTCGGGGCAGTTTCTGTGGGAAACTTGAACCTCGGACTTGTTTGTATGTTCCTTTACCCTTTTTGCAAAATTTTCATACATTCCCCGAGCTTATTAGAGTATGCATTTTGTTTTTCCCTCTAGGGATCGGCTGATGAATTAAATGAATTAGAATTAATTTGATAAAGCCCAATTTTCGTATCTAAAAATTAATTGAAAGTCGAGCCTGAAAATAAAATGTTTTTTCAGGCATTTCTTTAGAAAACATTTCTTTTTCATGTACTACTGTTCTTCGTCGTCAACATTTTGGTGCCTTTGTTTCTGCAGAATTCTTGATTCCCGCTTCTAAATAACCTTTGGTTATGTATTACACATTAATTTAGGGTTTCATAATTGATGTTAAAATAATGTCTGTCATTTTCCATTGTTACTATTAGTGCCTTACAAATTGAAACATATCAGGAATAATACTTTGCATCTGATTATTAGAATATTAGAACTATAAAGTTTAACTGTCAGTAAAATTTTTAATTACTGTCTTTTTATACTACAATATGAATATATATACTACTAATTAAAAGTATGAAAGCTATATAAATGACTTCAAATTATACTGCAGGCAAGCAGCTATTCTGATTTATTACTTTTGCACATCACTATTTTTAATCTGTCATTTTTTCAAATTGTGTAGAAGTGCATTCTTTCTATATTAATATAAAACTCAAAAATGGCATGAGCTATTTAGTCTCTAATTGTGGTTATTTAAAACATATCAGCTCCATTGATTTTAGGGGTTTTTTTTAACCAGTTAATTTTTATGGTTCTGAAATAATATTTCAACTCTGAACATCTCTTTTCAGTCAGCATTTTTCTTCATGTCCTGGTTGATGCTTTCTGAGTCTTCCACGTGACAGCAGGGACATCCAGAAGTTAGGAACAGGGTATCAAGGGTGACAGTTCTCACTTCCTTGCTGGATGACCACTGGGTAAATGACAGCTGTGTGCCCCAGTTTGCTTATCTGCAAAACAATAATAGGACCTGTCTCAAAGGGATAACTTGGAATTGGTGTAATTCTTAAAGAAAGGGCCAACAAAATATCACTCTTTCCCACCTGTTTAAACCTGGTCTTATCTCAGGAATAAGTGCTTCCTAGGTAGATTTTTCACCTTTGTTTATTTACTTATTAAATGAAAATATTTTCAAAATAAGCAGTATTTCTAAAAGGTCAAGGAATAGACAAGGGCAAATGGAAGAGGAAGAGTCCCTCTAATGAATTAGCATATAGATTTCCTGCATTAATCGTCTTACTGACAAAAAACCAAGATGATCAAGCTTGGTGGGTGATTATTAGCTGTAATGCAAATAGACATCATGAGCAGACAGTGACATTTCTTGTCATCTTTTTGCAATATATTTTCAAGATGATTTAGTTTTGTGATTTAATTTCTTACGGAAACAAAATTTAACAACTAATAATAATTACCTACAACTTTAATTGAAATTACAAATTGATACGTGTCTATTGCTGGCTTGTCTCTTGAGTGAGAGGGGAGAAGGCAGACGATTAGACTCATAGTTCCAGTTGTACCACTTAGGTGAAGATACCTGGAGTCAGGCAGGCCAGATTAAGCACCAAAGCTTTCTCTAGAATCCTTGGTTTTGGAGAAGAAAATTCTTAAATCTCTTGGATATAATATTCACTGATACCTGAGGTAATTTGTAGAAGATTATTTCATTAAGACTTAGGCCTGTAATGAAGTGTAAGGCATCCAAATAGATAATTCCTGTGTTTCATGCAAATAGTCTAGTAAAATAGGAATCTAAAGAGATGTTTTTCTTTTAAGCAGGCTTCTCACGAGTATATTCTTGCTGCTCATTCTTCCAGACCCTCTTCCATAGGGCATTTGAAGCATCACATTAAGTTGGCTATGTAGAGTATAAAAAAGAATAGTGCTTTGCTAGAATATGTGGAATTATATAAGCCATAGGAAAGCAAATTTTAGGTATACAGCCCGATTCAGAATTTGCATCTTACCAGTATTTCTGCTCCAGTTCTCACTTCCAGCTGTTTGTTTTGCTTCCAATTTCACTTAGAACAGTGAAGCCATCAAAGGGAACTTACATCACCTTCCCATGCCACATCTACCCACCTGCCTGAATTTCTGCTCCCATAATCTGCCTTTTGTTTCCTGACTATGAATGAATGGTTTGTGTTCCCATCCAAAGCCAGCCCCTGTACTTGTGCACGAAAGCCCACCCCCTTTGCCTTCTCAAGACTCTTGCTCTGCGGTTTTCTAATATTTCTCCTACCTCCTGAATTTTTCTTTTATTTTAATTGAATCTTTTCTGTTGACAAACACAAATACTGTTATTCCTTGGCCTTTCGGCACCATTTCCCCATATAGTCATGGCATCACTTATTTTCTCCCTGTTTGTCTCTGTTTTTCCATCTGTTCTTTTTTCCCTTTTCCTGACTTCTTTTGGACTGAGTATCTTTGGTATTCCTCTTTTCATCTCCACTATTGGCTTGTTATCTATACCTTTGTTTTTTTAGTGGTTATTCTAGGGTTTCCAACTATGCATCTTCAACTTAATATTATAACACTTAATTATAATCACAGCGGTATCCTTCTGTTGTCTCCTCCCATCCTTTGGGCTATTGTCCTACATGTTACTTCTGCATATGTTATAAACCTTCTAAGATGTCATTACCACTCTGCTTTGATGAGCAAATATACGGAAACTTTAAAATGAGAAAAAATGGCTTTTACGTTTACTTACATATTTGCCATTACTGGTGTTCTTCATCCTTTGCGTAGGTCCAAGTTTCTGTTTGTTATCATTTTCCTTCTACCTGAAGAACTTCTGTTCATATTTCTTATGGTACATGTCTGCTGGTCATATATTCACTCAGCTTTGATTTTTTCTAAAAAAGTTTTTATTTTACCTTCATTTTTGAAAGATACCAAGTATAGAAATTTAAGTTGAGAGTGTCTTTTTTTTTTTTTTTTTTTTTTGAGTTGAGGTCTCACTCTGTCGCCCAGACTGGAGTGCAGTGGCCACTCCCGGCCACTGCAGCCTCGACCTGCTGGGCTCCGGCGATCCTTCCACCTCAGCCTTCCAAGTAGCTGGAACAATAGGCGCACGCTACCACACCCGGCTAATTTTTTGACTTATTGTAGAGATGAGGTCTCACCAAGTTGCCCAGGCGGGTCTTGAACCCCGGGGCTCAGGCAACCCACTCATCTCAGCCTCCCAAGGCGCGGGATTACAGGCTGAGCCACCGAGCCCGGCTGACAGTGTCTTTCAGCATTTTAAAAATGTCATTCGAGTGTTTTCTCGCTTGAATAGTTTTTGAGGCTACATCCACTGTAATTTTTTCTTTTTTTCCTCTGTGTATAATATGCCTTTTTTTTCTGACTGCATTTAAGATATTCTTTGTATCACTTTTTGTTTTGTTTGAATTAGGATCTCACTCTGTTGCCCAAGCTGGAGTGCAGTAGCATGATCATGGCTCACTGCAGCTTCGACATCCTGGGCTCAGAAGATCCTTCCACCTTAGCCAAGTAGCTGAGTTTACAGGTGCATGCTGCCATGCCTGGCTAATTTTTTATTTTTTTATTATTTTTTTTTTGAGTTGGAGTCTCACTCTGTCACCCAGACTGGAGTGCAGTGACCGCTCCCGGCCACCGCAGCCTCCACCTGTTGGGCTCCGGCAATCCTTCCACCTCAGCCTTCCGAGTAGCTGGAACTACAGGCGTGCACTACCACGCCCGGCTAATTTTTGATTTATTGTAGAGATGAGGTCGCACCAAGTTGCCCAGGTGGGTCTCAAACCCACGGGCTCGGGCAGTCCACTCACCTCAGCCTCCCAAAGGCACGGGGTTACAGGCTGAGCCACCGAGCCCAACTAATTTTTTTATTTTTTATAGAGGCGAGGTCTTGCCTAGGTTGGTCTTGAACTCCTGGACTCCTCCTGCCTTAGCCTCCCAGAGTGCTAGGATTACAGGCGTGAGCCACTGTGGTTGGCCTGGTTTTTATCAGTCTAGTAATGTTGTACCTTGGTTTGGTTTTCTTATTCTGTTTGGATTATCATTACCTTCTTGTATCTCAAATCTTACCTAATTTGAGAATTTTGGAGTCAGCTTTTTTTTTCTTTTAACATCGTGAATTTTTTGGACTGCTTGATATTGATTGACCTAGAGGCTGTGCTGCTTATTTATTTATCCTTCCTTTTTTTTTTTTCTATGTGCTTTTTTGGGGATGGTTTCCATAGTTATGGCTTCAGGTTCACAACTTTTTGTTGTTATTGTTTCACACTGATTTTTTTCTGTTGTTAATCCCATCCAGTAAATTTTTTTTCAAATCTTTTTATTTTTCTTCTCTGGAAGTTCCATTTGGTTCTGCTTCATACCTTCTTTTTCTCTTCACATTATGCTGTTTTTCTTTAACATATTTGTAGATTTATATTAAATAGTGAACGTATCTATAATTATTGTTTAACACCCTTGTCTGCTAATTATATCTTCTCTGTTATTTTCCTGCTTCTTCATATGTCTAGTAATTTTTTATTGGATGTTAGATATTTAAATTTTATGATGGTAAGTTCTGGTTTTGTTTTATTCCCTTAGAGAGTATTGGTGGACTTTTATCTTCATGGCAGTTAAATTACTTGTGAAGCAGTTTAATCCTTTGGAAGCTTATTTTTTAATCAATTTTAAGGCAAGCCTGAGCAGCCTTAACTCTAGGGTTACTTTAACCCCACTGACAAGGCATTAACCTCTGGGGTCTCTGCTGAAAGCCTCATGTATTACACAAGTATGTTCCACTTTGGCTGGTGGGAACTTGATGCTTCCCAGTTCTGTGTAAACTTTAGGAATAGATCAGCTCAAAGCTTCCTGGTAAATTGTTCTTTCCCCAGAAGTTGTTCTTTGATTGCCCTGATAGTTTTATTCCATGCATGTGCAGACTGGTATTTAATGTGTTATTTCTAGAGCTCTTTGTATATCTTCCTCATCTTTAGTACTTTGCCACCAAAATTCTAGGTGCTTCAGTTTCTCTGAACTCTAATCTGTGTCCATCCACTCAGTGAAATTACCAGGCAGTTTGTTTTTCTCTTCTCTGTACTGTAGTCTAGAAATTGTCTCTGGTTGGAAACCAAGGACCATCATAGGACTTACATTTATTTCCTTTTTCTCAGGGACCATAGGTAGCAGTGTTACAGGCTGAAAAGAGGTCATTTTGGTTATATTAGAACAGACATTTAGAAAAGACTTAGAAACTTGTATTAAGAAATGTTCTTTTGTTGCTGAGTTGGGCTAAATGTGGGAGCAGCTTGAATTTAAAAGTGCACATTGTTCTTTTCCCTAAAGGGCCCTCGGAATGTGGTCACTCCTAGCCCAGCCTTGCCCCTAGCCCAACCTTGCATGACTGGTTTGGGAGGCCAGTCAATCTTATCTAAAAAGAAAAAAAAAAACTTGTTAATGCTGAAGGGAAAGCAGTCTTTTATGTCAGACCACCTAGGCAAAGAGAAACTGCATATCTCTGAAGAAGCCTCCACCAGATTTAGATAAGAAACAGGTTCTGTTGAAACTCCCGAGAATGTATCTACTTCTATAGCTAATCACTTATTTCTTTTATGTTTAATATTAGTCATTAGCTGACTCTTGTAAACTAGAACTTTGTAACAGATTTTGATTGGTTGAAAAGTACACAGCCCTAAAGAAAGGCAAGATTGATGTCAGTGGTGGCTTAGGGGTCAGAACACTGATTAGAAAAAATCTGAGTCGTGCTCAAACTGCACATAGGCTTCTTAATATTAACTTGGGGTGGGTGAAGGACTATGAATTTTGGTTATAAATACCGAAAGGAGTTTGTGTTGGTTTGAGCAGGTGATGCTCGCCCATGTCCCTGCAGCCTGGTTGCAAAAATTAAACCCCCTTTTCTCCTAGTTTCTGCCTCATATCTTTGATTGAACATGAGGGATGGCAGCCGGTTTGTTAGAAGGGACTAAAACAACAGGGCTCTAATAATCTGCTCCTTGAGAAAGAGTCAAGAAAAACAAAGAGAAAAATATTACAAATTTAATTTTCTATAGTGAACAATTTACCATTGTCACCATGTTACCATTGTAATATTTCCCATAAGTTGCTAGCAAAATTTAATATAGGTATTCATCTGTTTACAAAATAGGGGAAATTGAAGGGAGAACAATTTGGGGAACTTCAAAGTATATTTTTAAAAGTCACAATATATTTTGCTCTAATTATAAAAGTTTACCATGGTACCAGTATACTTATTGCCATTTTAAAATCTCATAAGGAAAGAGAACTTTATATTATTGTTTTCCTTTACTAGTCTTCTGACTTTAATAATAGGAATAGTTAATAAAACTAGTCTTTCCTGAAAAACGACTATGGTGCATTTAGTCAAAGTAGCTGAGTTTGTATGAAATGAAGTAAGCCATAACTTGGGACTTGAATGCAAAAAGGTGAAAGGTCAGAAAGAAGTCAAAGAAATGACTTTATTATAAAAAAGTGAAAATTTGAAAGAAAATAAAAATATTATGACCTCAGATATGGGTATAAATATTAGAAGCAGAAGAAAAAAGGGGATAAAACCTGCATATGTGTTATCATTTCTGCATTTGATGTTGAGTAAAAGATGGACCTGGTGGGTTATGAACTTACCAAAGTTCTCTAATATATATATTAATTTTTTTTTTTTTTTTTTTTTTTGAGTCGGGTATTCACTTTGTTGCCCAGATTGGAGTGCAGTGACATGATCAAGGCTCACCGCAACCTTGACCTCCTGGGCTCAGGCAATCCTTCCATTTCAGCTTTCAAACTAGCTAAGACTACAGGTGTTCACCACCATGCACACCTAATTTAAAAACAAATGTGTGTGTGTGTGTGTGTGTGTGTGTAAACAAGGTCTTGCTAGGTTGCCTAGACTAGTCTCGAACTCTTGAGCTCAAGCAATCTTCCTGCCTTGGCCTCCCAAAGTGCTGGGGTTGCAGATGTGAAGCCACTATGCCCAGCCTCTAATATCTCTGGGCTTTTAAAAATGCTGTTAATCACTTTAAATATAAGTACTAATGTGAACTAGGTGCTGAAAAAGAACCTCTTCTTGGCCTTCTTTAAAGATTTGATAAGACTCAAAAATCAGCATATTAATTTTGTACAAATGAAAGATCAGAGAAAATTAAGAATAACTTGGACTCTTAAATAGTTTTCTCAGAAATTTATAATGATGATTTTACTTTTACTTATCAAACCCTTTAAAAATAAATAGTAAAGGTTAAATTTCAGATTGGTCATATAGAATACTTTACACTAGACTTCAGTAATATCCTTAAAGTAAATGTTTCTACTGGGCCACATACATTACAGCCACAGTTATTCATAATGCTATATTTTAGCTTATGACTTACCAAGTGTTTTTATAGATGATGTAGATTTGGGTTTTGTTGATTGAAAAATGCATCTGTGTCTTTGTATTAAACAAAAACAAAAACAACATTCATTTTCATTTATTCTTTTACTTTTAGAAACAAAAACCAAGAAATGCCTCATTCCACTAACAAAGAACTGATATTTGGCATCATGGTAGGAACTGCTGGAATCAGCTTGCTGCTATTGTGGTACAACAAAGTCCGTAAACCCAGGCTAGCAGTGAATTTACCGAAATTTCTTTCTCTGGGTAATACATTTGATTCGATGACTTTGCAAGGTGAAATGCATAATGACCAAGGAGCAGCAGGGATTGTTCAAGAGAGGCAGCTTCAGATACTGGAGAAGTTAAATGAATTACTGACAAATATGGAAGACCTCAAAGCGGAAATCAGATTTCTTAAAGAAACTATTCCAAAGCTGGAGGAATATATACAAGATGAACTTGGAGGGAAAATTACTGTTCATAAGATAAGTCCTCAGCACAGAGCTAGAAAAAGAAGGCTCCCCTCAGCCCAAAGCTCAGCAACAAGTAATAGTTCCGAGGAAGCAGAAAGTGAAGGAGGGTGAGTTTCCTTAAGATGGTTCCCATGTTGAATTGATTATTTATTGCATTATTGCTATTATTTAAGTGCCTTTGTTAGGTATTTCCAGTCATACATGCTGCTACTAACAAAAAATGAAAAGGAGTGATATTTTGACTTGAATTATAATTAAGACTGTTCATTAGCCAGTATTGAAGCTAGTTTAGACCACATTGACAAAAGGAATATAAATAACTTATTGTTAGTAGATGGTGTCATGTGAGTATTGAGTAAGACAGTAATTGTTTGCCAAAATGTGTAACCTATTTTTTAAGCAATCACTGTGTGACCTCCTTATGTAAGAACTCTGTAGACCATTGCCATCCAAAAGGACTTTCTGTGGTGATGGAAATGATCCAACTGTGGTGCCGAACATGACAACTACTAGCCACGTGTGGCTATTAAGTACTTGAAATGTGACTGGTGCCACTGCCTTGCTAAGCTATGGTGTGGCCATGTGCTCCCTGAGCTATGGCCAGGCCACGTTTTCTTAAGCTTTGGCCACCTCCCCTACCTTGGGGAAGTGAGTCTCCTCTTTCTCTCTCTCTCCAATTTACTTTCTAAATAAATTATATTTTCTAATCTAAAAAAAAAAGAAAAAGAAAAAGAAATGTGCCTGGTACAACTGAGGAACTGAAATTCTAATTTTGTTTCTTTGTGGTTGTCATTTTATTTAGTTGTAATTAATTTACATTTAAATAGCCATTGGGGGCTGGTGGCTACTGAATTTCAGTGCAGGTCTAAAAAGAATTAGAGTCTCTTGTGTGCCTTCTTTCAGTATACAGGTATCATCGTGGACTTATGGATTTATGTCTTTTTTGGACTCAAGCTAAATTAGTCTATCGATGGTGGTGATGACTGATGCTCAGATTCTCACAAAGCCCTTAGAGGGTCTGTCAAGGTTATTCCTTTTTAGCACTTGTGTTCACATCTTGGAAAGCATCTTTGCTTCTTGGTGATAATATGTTTTGACTGATTTTCTATTTGTCTCTGCTCTAAAACATGAGATCAACTCCTGCCTTAGCAACACCAGTTCCTTCCTTTCTTTTTTTTTTTTTTTGAGTCTCACTCCATTACCCAGACTGGAGTGTACTATCATGCTCACAGTCACCCCAGCATCAACCTGCTGGGCTCAGGCAAGTCTTCTGCCTGAACTTTCCAAGTAGCTAGAACTACAGGTGCACACTACTGCCTGTCTAATTTAGATATAAAATTAGATATATATGTCGTAGAGGCGAGGTCTCACCAAGTTGCCCAGGCTGGTCTCAAACCCCTGGGCTCAGGCAGTTCTCTTGCCTTGGCCTCCCAAAGTGCTGAGATTACATGTTTGAGTCACTGTGCCCAGCACCAGTTTCTTTCAATGAGAATATTGCTAGGTACCAAAATCTGGATGTGGGGAGGAAAACTGTATTTGGGCAAGATAATATCAGGGGTTGTTTTGGTCCCTTTGAGTACTTGGTAAAATGTATATTTTTAAATGTTTTTAAGGTCACTAGTTCACATTGATATTTTCAGTTTAAATTTCTGAGAACTTTGTAGTTCCTTTTCTTAAGCTTTCTGCCTCCCTTTTCTCTGTCATATTTGATTGTTGTTCTACCACACTCTGGGCCTAGATTTTGTTATTGAAATTACAAGATTATGTGAAGCTTTGAAAACCCCTTTTTTAAAATTTAGGTCTTATTCCAGTTTAAAGTAATACATTCATTAACTTTCAGTTCACTGTGGGCTTTGGGAAGAATTAATGTGTTTCCAAATTAGACTCGGGGTTGTATAGTGACCATAGGAGCCTTGCTTCTTTTTTCTCTTGATCTGAGTATTTCATTTTAGTGTTAGGTTCATATCGTATTCTCAGAAACAAAATTGATTATTTGAAAACAAAAAGAAATCCCACAAATCTAGTGTTCTAGAAGAACACTTGCATAATACAAGGATAGCGCCCTAGTACCTTAGGTAGTATTTCCTTATAAATAATAGATGATAAGGAAAGTGAAACCACAGATAGATACAGATTTTTGAGATTTTATTTGAAACTCTTTTAACTTTTGCTTTCATGAGCCAACATACAGATCTTGCTTTTTTGTTCATTTACATATGTGCTCTTGCCATTCTTTGTTCCTGTCAAGTCAGTTTTAGTATTGAACTTCAGTTTTTCAGCTGAGATAAGTAGAGATTCAGATACTCACTATGTGCTGATTCTGTATTCCTTAATGCTGTAGTCGTCTAAATTTGCTAAAAATATTTTTTCTGCTTCTGGTCTTTTTAAAAATGAAACATTACACATATAACTGAAGTTTCCTTTCTACTTTCTTTCAAAGGTAACGATTATCTTGAAGGTGTTGTTCCTTCTTCTTTTGAAAGTTTTATTGTTTCTCCTACGTGTGTATTTTTACATAAACAAGGCATAAATCATCTTTTATTCTTAACATTTTGTAACTTGCTTTTGTACTAAATGCTTTTTTGAGGTTTTTCCATAATGATGTATATAAACTTATTTCATTCTGATTGTTATGTTGCATTTCACTGAATGAATATATTTTAATTTATTTCCCTGTTGATAGATGCTTAGGTTACCACTATTTTGCTCTTATAAGCAATGTTTTATTGAACACCTTTCTTCCATTATTCCTTAGGCATATGTGGAAGAATTTCTTGAAAGTATATATCTGAAGTGCTGAGTTATAAACTGAATATATTGCTGTTATGTGTTACTAAATCATTCTTCATGATTCTCTTGGTGGGAAAAAATAAATAATATGAGTAAACCGTTCTTCAAAGTGTACCAGTTTAGAATCTTGTAAGCAGTGTATGAGAATTCTTATCTTTCCATATTATTATTGCCAGACTTTATAATTTTGGCCAACCTAATGAAGATGAAATTGTAACAAATCATTTTTCATTTGCATTTCCCCAAACACTAGTAAGATTGATTACGTTTTCATTGTTCGTTTGTCATTGAGGTCTTCTATTCTGTGAATTTCTTTTTTCTTAAAAAAAGAAAAGGTAATACCAAAACTTGAAGCTGCCCTCATTCATTCAGTGTAAGTGTCTCTCAGAACCCCAAAGAACAAAACAATAAGTGCCAAGTACCTTTGCCTCCTGCAGCCAAGTGACAGACCTTCCTGGGCAGGATTTGCTGAGAGATTGAAGCCACTGCCAGTGTGGGCAGCCACCCACGGGCCACCTGTGAAGGCAGCCGCTGAAAGCTGAGAGAAACTCTCCTCCTGGGATGGGTGTTGGTGTGCTGGGCATCCCCCGGGACATGTACGACGCTGGATGCTGTGGGAATGAATGCGCAAGCAGAATGTATGTCGGGGGAAGAGAGAGGAGGGTGGAGTCCAGCGCTTCCTGGAGCCCGCGTTGAAGGAGTGTAGAGGTGGGCGAGCCTGCAAAAGAAGACAGACGACTGGTCAAAGAATTGGAAAAGGAACCAGAGGGCAAAGGTGTCACAGAAACCAAGAGAGGACAAGGTTTCCAGGACAGTGGTGAAAGTCGCAGGTTTTAGACCCTTTGGACCCAGATTTGAATTCTGTCTCAGCCCTTAACTGGCTGTATACTGCACTTATCCAAACTAAGTTTATCTTAGAATATGGGTGATAATGCATGTCTCATGTTGTTATAAGTCTTGAATTAGATCATCTAGGAAGGTGCTTTGCACTAAAATAGAGTACATTTTTAAACAATGAGTTATTTATCAATAAAAGGAAGTGATAAAAGTACTAAATGCTCTAGAACAGGGGTCAGCAAACTTTTTTTATAAGAATTTGAGACTTTGAGAACCATGCAGTCTCATCTCAACTATCCAGTTCTGCTGTGGTGGTGCGGCAGGTAACATGGGTGTGCCAGTGCTCCAGTAAAACTTTATTTACCAAGACAGGTGACAGGTGGATTTGGCCCCCAAGGTGTAGTTCGCCAACCCCTGAACTAGAAAAATATATTTAGCATATTTTTAGCTTTTTGGTTGTAATGTTTTTGATCAAGTAAAATAGGGACTGAACTTTGTGTCCTGGATTTGGGACTTGGGAGGTCATTTACTGATGAACTTTGCTGAAGCAGTTGCAGGACAGTGATGAGGACAGAAACCTGACCTAAGCCTGGACCAAAGAACAAGGGGTAAAGATGCGCACACCAGAGGGGTAGACCCTTGTTTCAAGGAACTTGACTTTGTGTAATCAAGAAGGGTATTAGGTTCAGAGAGCATATATCTTATGTTTTACTTTCTGTTTTGGGTTTTGTTTTTCTTTGAGGGATACTTGAGTGTACTTACAGACTGCAGGGAAGAAGCCAATTCAGAGAGCAAGAGTAAAAATACAGGAAAAAGGATCTTTTAAAAAAAAAATCAGAAACAAAAGCAGACAAAGAGGAAACAACCCATGAAACAAAGTGTCACCTGATGATTTTAGCAGCAGTACACTTTAGGTATTGGGATAACATGTAGAAAAAAGAGAGAATAATATCACTTACAGATTCTAGAGAAACTTTCTTAACCTCAAGAGAGTATCTGGTAACATGGAAACTGACAATATAAGGTCTCTAGCACTGCTGCCCCCAATAAAGGATGCCAGTTTGGGGAAAATTGAGCTCTGCATTGTATTATCTTTCTAATCAGTGTCTTCATTATCATGGAATCTAATATAATAGCCAATAGATTCTCAAGAAAGACAGAACATGTTTACAAGTCCATTCATTTCTAAAACAAATGTTCATTTAGCATCCATGATGAGCTATACTCTTGTAGGTGGTACAATGATAACAAAGTCCCTGCACTCACAGAGCTTACATTCTGTTGGCCTTTGCATCCAACGTGGAGACTTGTGTCTTGAGAAGCCTCACCTAGTGATCTTCTTGGCTTTTATCTCACAACTTGAAGTGTACAACATCCTTTTATTCTGCCAGCGCATCCACAAATGAGTCCAGGTGCCCTGATATCTTGGCACCAAGAGTAATACTTAGGTTTCCACTGTTCTGGCCAATCCCAGGACCAA